ATTATTATGACCCATATTGAGAATGCTCTATATACGCTACAACATTTTCAATTTCCTGCTTAAATTTTATTTATACTTAGGATATATTAAAAGTTTCTTGCAACAAAGACGATACAACCATATTAATTCCAAAAATCTGTAAATGCCTGATTTGCTCCTTTAACTTTGAGATGACATTATACCACAGATAAAAGCTGGGGTTAGGTTAGGCATGGTCCAGAGAAAAAGGCAGGGATTTCTTAGATATTTAGGAATAAAACAATGGCTTTATTCCTTTAAAAAACACAGGCAGAAATGGTAACAGGAAACAACATGGACTACTGAAACTATTTACAAGTGAGATGTTTCTTATCAATCTCAACTCTAGGCTATTAACTTACTATAATCTTTTATATGAGAAACTACTTTTTTGAGATGTACTGCATGGCAATGGGTAACTACCTATATTACAAATAAACCCAAATAAATACATGTCTCCTACTTAATTTCTGATACACTCCAAAATGAGGCTGGTTACTGGTCTGAGCACATACAGGTTCATTCCATTTCTCTCCAGACCTTTGTTTAGACTGAATCTCCTTGCCTGCTTAGTCTGTGTAGAAAGTCTATTAACTTCAAAACGTACGTCTTTAGTCCATCTTATTAAAGCCTTTCATGAAAATCTTATTTTTATAGTTCACAGGATCAATTTTCTGTACCACATATAGTTATCAACTTGATGATATTCCACTTAAAATATCAAGTCACTACTTTTTATTCTTCCTTCATTTCAAATTCAGCTAGACTAACAAGCAAGTTTCATGGAGCACACTAGACTCTATGAAATAGAAAAATATATCAATAGATCTTTAATAAATATTACAAAGCTAAAATAGAAAAAGTTGTAACTAAATAATTCAATGTGACATAATTTCACCATGATAATTAGTAAGATTTCATATTTTGAAAGATGTTTGAAAAAATATAGTTCATGTATATTTTCCTTAAATTTATCATCTTATTTTAAACACCAAAAACTCTTTAAATATTGAGTACTTATGAAGAAATATTCTTTAGCAGGCCTCTATATTCATCTTATATATGTCTTTGCACCTCAGTCTTAGGTTTATTATACTCAGAAGAAGGAAAGTATGTCTTTTCCTCTGTACCATCTGATTAAACTGTATCAAATTGAAGAAAAAATAAAAAAAAATTAAAAGTTCAAAGGCTAAATCATTTAAAAACAGGAAGATAGTTCTTTAGTTGTGGTTCCTTTGTAAGTGCTGTGTTTAGAAGTCCTGGGTTATGGCCTTGATCACATCAGTGAAGTCACTAGAACTCTTTTTCTTTAAGTATATGATGTGTTTAAAAAAGAATAAAGAAAAAAAGACCACAAAATAATTCACGTTAGTAACTTCATACACAGATCTTAAAGAGACTTGCAAGGCTGACTTCTACTTTATGTTATTTATATATTTTGGGGTTTTTAATGAGAATAAAAATGATTTATTAAGCATACATTTGCTTAAACAGTGTTTCAAGTCAGAAAGTACTTAGAAATACTGAGAGACTTTTTTTTTTTACATAAAAGTCTCTCAATTTATAAAACTTTTTTATTGACAGATAAGGCACAGAAAAATGTAAGTGACATCTGCTAAGCTTTACTTATGCAAACTTAAAGAAATCCTACGGGATAACATCACTCAATTTTTCCTGGAGTACCTCTGATGGAGACTTCCTAAAAAAAATCTGGAAATAATTAGAAACTATTATAGTACCTTAAAAAGTTTACTTGAAAACTAAATCTGCTCTTCATCAAAGAACATAATATACTCAGAATAATGTAATAGAAAAATAAAGTACATATACAGAATAATGAAAAGCATCTCAACCACATCTGATTGTGAAACTTAAAAAAGTTGGCAGAGGACAATAGTGGACCTGCGAGATACTGAAGAACTCTGGAGGAAACACTGTATTCACTGATTAAGCACTGACTTTATATTATTTTACTCCAGTTCATTCTACTTTTAATTTTTAAAAAAAGATACTACTAAGTGCATTTTAAAAACAAATTGAAAGAAAAGAAGAATAGATAAATCTTGAAATTGACTTTTATGTCATGAGATTTATAGGAAGTAGAAAACTCCATATACAGTAAAAAATGTTTTTGACTATCTGTGGAACAATTAATGCAATATAATGATAATGCTAATAGCATCTTAGAACTTAAAATATGTTTTTCAAGAGACCTAAAATTCCACTGGCATGTTCCTTAGAGTTTAAAAGACTGTCCATATGAACTGAATTATCCTTGACAAGTACCTTCAGACACTTGTAATATGATCTCATGTAAATTTAGACCATATTTTGCACACAAACCACTGGCAATAGTAAGTTTATTCAAGAGCTCAAGATAAAAAGGAAAGAAAAGCTGATAGACTTAATAATATGTGGTAGTTAACATGAAGTTTCCGAAATCAAAAGCATCAAAATAAAGGCATCTAATGAAAGAAAAACAAATACTGTGAGAAATGCTGCATTTTCCTTTCCTTTTTCAGTTCTTCACTACCTGTTTTCTCCAAACAAAATGTTATCTTTCCATGTTTTATCCAAATTTAGGGGAAAAAACACATTATAAACAGATAAATAAACCAGAAAATTCCATTTGCATTGAAAATTTATTTTAACCAATAATTAAACCACAGTGTGGATAACATCTTTGTTGTGTTTCCCACTGCGGGAAAAACTTATTCATGCAGTCCGTCAAGATAGTTACTCATTCAGATTTCCAGCTATTTTATTAGTACTAATAATTGCTGATCATAACATGGAGCTATATCAACATTTGCAAAGGGTTAACTGTAAAACAGAAGAAAAACAACTCAAAACTCTGCTGTTTTAAGGGTTCCTCAGGATTGCCTCTGCCTTGGCACCAAAAAAAAGCCTACAGAACCATGCTAATTCTATAGGGATCAGCTCCATTGTCAAAGAAATGCATTAAGGCCTGACGGAGAGAACTCAGTATTGGAGAGAGCTGCTTGCTAAGCAATCTCCAGCACCCGCAACTATATTTATCTCTCTTTATCAGAAGTCTGCTACCGCTATGTTGTCTGGCTAATGGATGAAAACAGGGTATATATCATCATGAATTTGAGTCGTGGAGAAAATGGCAGATTATTTTAAGAAATTCTGAAGACCTGTCCATTTTTTGTGTCCTCAAAGCCAAGGTTTTATATATCTGTCCAACAATGAATTATCTGGAAAAGATGTTTTTATAAGCTAATTTTAAAGCAGAACAGTGAATTCTTCCCACCTGAATTGCATCAAAGGAAGATTACTGATTTGCTTATCAGTTATTTCTTTAAAAATAATTTGTGGAAAGTAAAATTTTTCAGTTTAATAGAAAATGAAACAACTGGAGCTTTTTTTTTTAAAATAAAGACATTTTTAAACCATTTAAATGAGGCATTTTTAATCAATTAACCACTTAGATATTTAAAACACACTGAATTATTTTAGACATTCAACCTAAAAATCAAGTTGAGAGACATGTTTATAATACAGCTTTGCTGAAACACTGCATAGAGAGCTTAAATTTCTCACTCTTCCTTTCAATCAATAACTGAGGCAAAGTTTCATCTCTAGGGCCCTTAATGGCAGGAATTCCTGGAGCCAGCAAATGAGTAATGTTAAACCTATGATTAGATGATGAGGCCATCAAAGACACTAGACCCTAATGCTACATTCTTCTTTATTTCTGTGAACTGCAGTGAAACCAGGAGCTAAGGAAGAAGGAATTTTACATTATTTTCCCCCATGAAACCATTTCTTTCAAACGTGCATCACCAAGAACCTATGAGTTCCAGACAGATTTCACAGAATGTCTCTTGAACTCAGGACTCTGGCTTTGGGTGACAATTCTCAAATGTCCTGCAGATGAACTCCTGCCAGGGATGCTGTTTCCTTTAACATCTTCCTTATTTACATATCTGGATGAAAAGTGGAAAATGGATCTAATGATTTCCCTATGAATATATTCTTGAAGAAAGTAAACCTGAAGACTGAAAAATAATAGGTAAGTTTTGGTTGCTTTATTTTTGTTGATGCTTTAAAGGATTGGTTGAAGCCCTATTGCTGTTTATTTGGAAGTTAGTTGTGGTTTTAGTCAGACCTCAGGTAAGTAACTAGAAACAGTATATACAAATTTTCCTTTCTACTGAGGAAATTAGGATGTAAAAATTACTTATTACAAACATATATAAGTTCTTTTTTCATTCTCATATTACAAAATATTTAATACTTATGTGAAAATCAGTACCACCAGGAGACTTGGCAGAGTTGGTGAAAAGAAAGACCATTAGGTCCCTATTTTAGTTATCAGAAAAATGTTACATACTATTAAAAAAACAATAGCCAGAAATTATAATTCTATTTTTAATTCTGACTATTAAAGATAAACAGAATGAGTAGATTTTTAGATTTTATACTGAAATATATAAATTATATTACAAAAGGGAAAGCAGCAATGTATCATATCAAAAACCCCTCGCTGATCAGCTGTGTTTTATACTCTGGCTACTGCATTAAAAAAAACAACCTCCAGTTTGCATTATCTCTAATAGTGAAAAAGAAACCATATAATTAACAACAAACATCAAAATTATAAATACTACTCTATCATTTAAAAAAGATGGATGTAAAGAAGGGTATCAAAATAGCTATAACAAATTATATACATATTTGCAGAAATTAAAAAATAAGGAACAATAGAAGGATAGGTGAAATGGAAAATAATAAGACAGCTAAAAGGAGGGGAGAAGGAGGGAGATTAAATCAATATTTGCATAGTAAGATCATTTACATAAATCCATATCTCCATTTATTTTCTTTATCTATGAGATAATAGACATTTAAAAATAGATAAACATATACATATATATTTACATCCATTCTCCTGTTTAATGACATAAAGCAATCCTCATGTAGTTTAATGCAATCACGTGATTAAGATTTCATACCTGAGAACAAAGCAGCATAACAAGCTCAACTACAGATGTGCTGGACTTCATACAAACGAGGCCTGCAAAAAAGAAAGGTTAAAATAAAATGAAATAACAGTGGTAGAAATCATCATTCTAAGTTAATTCATTTTGTAGTTTTAACTTATAAAACATTTTTAAAAAAAAGAATTCCTAAAATAAAATGGAGATACTCACTAATAGCATTAATTTCAAAATATACAGATATTTCAAGAAGATATGAAAAATATGTAAAAATTGACCTCAGACTTGGGTTATTTATTTGGTCAAGGCATTTCTTATATTTAAACAAGGCACGGGTAGCTTTCAAAACTGATAAGCCAGTTAAAGCTCCTTTTATTCCAATGACATTTACAATGTGATTGTCTCAGGAACACAGAATAATAATCACTGAAGATCTATCTAACTTTTCTTCCAAAAGACAAATTTAAAATAATTTTTACTTTATTATAGGTAACTACCCATAGGTTGTCAATGGTTAAATGAATTTTGAAATATTAAAAAATGAATTTCTCATACAATTAACATGTTATGCAATACTTATAAAATAAAATATTCCATTGTTCTGCTTCCAAAGTCTCTGAATAGAAGTCAGAAGAAACAAGAATTCAATGTAATAATGGCTGCTACTCATTGATCACGTGCTATGTGCTGGGTACTGTGTTAACTGCCTTATGTACAAATAACTCATTTAGTTCTCATGATATTTTGTGACATACTATTATTATTACCATTCTACAGGTAAGAAAATACTCTTCTTAAAAACAGTCTAAATGTTGATTATATATATTATTCATTGGCTTTTTTTCCATTAAAAGGATGACTGCTGTATAAGAAGAGAAGGCAGGTCATGACTGGGTAGTATTTTTAACATATAGAGAAAGATGTAACCAATGATTAATAACAATCTCTGGAGGAGAGTATGTTAATCACGATGCTTGCTAATTTAAAGTATATTTTTAAAAGTTTTTTAACTGTTTCTAAAATTAACTAAATTAATACTCATTTTTCTATGAAGACAAATATAATCAGTAAAAGCATTGCATAATAAGAAATGCCATGCTACCAGGGAAGCCTGATCTTACATTAGCTGTTGCTAAATAGCTAGCTAAAGTGAACCAGTTATTTTTCTCTTCTTAAGGTGATTTCAGTAAAGAGTCTCAAATGTCTTCCAGACACTAGCATGTATATTTATTGTAGGGAGTGGATAAATACCCTTTTGTGCCCATTCTGCTAACAACTCTACCCTTAATGTGCAGACCTACAGAACAAGTTGTAAAAAGGCACTAGTATTCCATTTTATCAGATCTTTGGGCAGACAGCTAACTAATGAAATAAGAGGCAGATGTGAAAAGCTCATTTAAGAGACAATTGTTGTAATTGATCAGCGATTCTAATACTCAGGAGATAGAGTCAGAAAGATTAATGGGATGTTTATCACCTGTTGGCTACTCAACTATTTGAAATTCAGACAAAGAAAAACTAAGTAGAAGGCCAAAGAGCTATGCATAGCAGAAGAATCAAAATTAAAATCTGTACTCCATATCAATTTAGATTTTAGATTGTAAGGCTATATAGTGAAGTATTAGGTTACATGGCTATATAATGATTGATTATACAAAGAGTTATTCACCATATATTCTGTGTACTAGAGTTTTGAAATACAGTTTTTACAAATCAGAAAAAAATATGCAATTATATTCATTTCTCACAGACTAATTTTAAATGAACTTCTAAAGAACTGCATGTAACAAGAATATTCATATTTTTACCCAAATATATGCTATCATTCCATAATAAGAAGAATATAAACAAATGCTCCATCAATGCTTTTGTTCAAGGAAGTGATAACAAAATGACAGGATAGTGAAACTGCAATTTGAAAAACAGTATTCTGGGAACTTTGAAAATGGCCATTGTGATTTCAGGTCACTAGATCTTTGCACCTTTACTAATGAGATGTAATTAGAATGAAAAGAATGATAATGGATCCTCCTCAAAAAAAAATAAAAAGAAACAAAAATGAAAACCTAGTTTTGCCATGAGAACACAAGCAGAGACAATTTTGGAAGACTTATCACCTTTCAAAAACTTTATAATCATTTTGGTTGGCACTATTTCTAAGTGTTAACAATTAAGTATTACTAAGACAAATGGATTTTTTATTAGAGGTACACGGTGAAGATATCTAGAGATATTGAGACATTTAATAGAGCTATTGAAAATACAAACACTGTCTGACGACATTATCCTTGCACATTCTCTAAATAAAAAAGCGCTTATTTTTGAAATTCTAAGGTGAAAGCAATAAATATGATTTTGTACAACTTTAGCCATAAGCTTAAGAAAGCCAAATTTATCTAGCAATGCTACAAATAACTCAGGCTATATATGCATAAAGCAAGTATTTTACAAGCATGTATCTCAAATGAGATGTGATTTTTTTTTCCCTTTTTGTATCTGGCAAGAAATTCATAATCAAATCAACTCATTTGAAAACTCCTTGTATGAGTAAAGGACAGTGTTAGCACTCAGGAGTATAAGTAATAAGACAGTATCTACATCTTCCTAAGGGCTCCATCTTTCAATCCAAATTTAAGATTATCTAACACTTACAAAGAACTTTATCATTTATAGGTTGCATTTATACATGATGTTTTATTGGATTCTCTTAAACAACTACTTGAACTAGTTCTTATTACCTCATGTGATAGGTTAAAAAACGAAGGGATTCAGTGACTAGCCCAAGGTGTTTCATTCAGTAAGTGGTGGAAATGTGACCTGAATTCAAGTCATCTAACTCAAAAGCCCATTTCTCATCTGCTGCAGAGCTGTTTAAACCATCTGACACTAACAGGATGGCGACATGCGACAATGAGAGAGATCACAACGGTTAATTCCATCCTGGGTGATTTTGCCAGTTTTCTTAGAGGAGATAACATACATGTTGGTCAGATGTGGGAACAAAAAGCTTAACAGAAAGTACAGAGGGAGCAGAGGCCCAGTAAATCCTGAGAAGATCTTTATAGTACGACTGGCTGATCAGAATATAGGCAGTGTGAGAAAGTGGGACTGGAGGGTTAAGATAAAATTCAAAGATTATCTATCTCCAACTGAAAGAAATAAAATTACACGTTTTTGAAAGTTGAGAAGAAGAATATAGAGAAAGGGATACAATGGGAGAAATGATACTAAGGATCAGTTATTCCTATTCCACGATGACTTTTCTCATCTTGTCAATTAAGAAGTAGGCCCCAAGGAAGTTAAACATATGTGCTCCTTTAATAATAACAACAAAAAGCCACCTTTACCCACAAATATGTGCTCAGCAGAATAAATATTCTAACTAGAAATAATGATGGAATACTGTAGATCATAGTAGCTTACCAATATAAAGTGAATTCAAGGAGTGTGGATAATCAACATGTGAGAGAAAGAAACTTAAATATGTAGGAGGTACTCTAATGGTGAGGAAACTGTCCAGTACAAGCTTTTGAATACATTATGAACTATGTTGTTGAAAGATAAGGTTGGCTAGCTGACTAGCCAAGATACATGTATTTGAGAAGATGAATTAGGTGGACAAATTTGAGGTGGTCCAGACCCAGGCAGCAAAAATTTGCTAGGTCCAGATGAGTAAAACACCATTCAAGTCACTGGCAGTTTTTTGGGTTTCCATTTACTAGGGGTGAGAAATCAGCTTCAACTTTTAGAACTATGCTCACTTGCAAAAAGGAAAAACAAAAAACAAAAACAACCAATCAACAACAAGAACAAAACCCCCACCAAATCTCACTAAACTGAAAAATGAATGTTAAAAGTTTGCCCTTTGGGATACAACCATCTTTCTTTAATACAAGAAATACTGACACTTTTGTTCAATGTGTGAGTCTGACTTCATGTATATGCAGAATTATGAGATCAAGTTTACATGCTTTAAGATAATGTGGAAAAATTCCATGTCTAACAGGATGCCCCCTTCTGGCAGGAGGTGAAGAGGACGAGGTGTTATGGTGACAAACAAGGAATCATACTTGGAGGTGGGACTCATCTTCTAAGGAACATTGTTTTCTTTCAGCAAGGGCCTTCTCCCAAGAGAGAAGAGCATACACGTCTATGCCTGGGGCAGTGCTCTGACTACATTCTCTGTAAACTTTAATTAAATGAATAAATCTAAAACAAACCATTCATCGAGTAAATAAATAGTTGATGTATATTTATATAAATGTTGGAGAAAAAAGATTTTAAGGAAAAGTAGGAATATTCTTTTAAGAACAAGAGCCTCATATATTAAAAAAGCATTTATTGAGCATTGTGTCTTATGTGCCAGATACCAGGCCAGGCGCTAAATTTAAAAATAGTGAGGAAAGCAGGACAATTTATATAAACAAATAATCATGACACAGACTCTCAGGAGATACACAGAGACAACAGAGTGTTAGACACACAGAAAGGGTAGTGAGCACCTCTGCCAAGGAGAATTCATAGGGACTGTGACCTCTGAGTTGCATGATGCTAATCCTATAAGCAAAAAAAAAAAAGGGGGGAAAGTCATCCAATTTAGTTTTTAAGTAACTTTCTAATGATTTTAACTTTTAGAATGGCCCAAATTGTGGTTTCACAGGTCAACTGGCGATAAAGATTCACCTGCCAATGCAGAAGACATGGGTTCAATTCTTGAGTTGGGAAGATTCCCTGGAGAAGAAAACGGCAAACCGCTTCAGTATTCTTGACATGGACAAAACTGCATGGACAGAGGAGCCTAGTGGGTTACAGTCCATGGGGTCGCAGAAACTTTTGACATGATTTAGTCACCGAGCACCAGCACAAAACTTAAGAAGGTCAAAAACTTCAGTTCAGTTCAGTTCAGTTCAGTCACTCAGTCGTGTCCAACTCTTTGCGACCCCATGAATCGCAGCACGCCAGGCCTCCCTGTCCATCACCAACTCCTGGAGTTTACTCAAATTCATTCCCATCAACTCGGTGATGCCATCCAGCCATCTCATCCTCTCCCTCCCAGCATCAGGGTCTTTTCCAATGA